TGTATATATAGAAAAAAACATAGTTTATATAAGGTTCAGTACTATCCACAATTTCAGGCATCCCCTGGGGTCTTGGAACATATCCCCTGCAGATAAAGGGATACTACTCTACTTAAGAGTTCCAAAAATAATTTGAATAGTGTAACAGAATTTTATGCAAATTTTCACATGTATATTTCTCATTTGAACCTCTCAACAACTCTGTGAGATAGACAAGGAAGATATTATTTTCCTCTTTGCATAAATGAAAAAACTATGACACCTGTTGAAAGCTACTAGGTCATGCTGCATAATGAACCCTAAATTTCAGTGGGTTACAATAACAAGCATCTATATATCACTCATGCACAGGGCATTTTGTGAATTATCTTTCATTCCGCCCCACATTTCCTTCATTTTAGGACCCAGGCTGAAGAAGAAGCTCTGTCTTATTGCATGGCAGAGGTAAAAGGGCAATGGTGGAACCACACAGAGTTTTTGCTGAGACTTAGCATAAAATACTCCACTCGCATTTCATTGGCTAAAGCAAGTCACATGTTCAAGCCTATTTTTAGAAGTGGAAGGAATATAATCTTCTTATAGGGGACAGGTAGAAAAACTGATAGGAACAATATGCATAGAGAGAAAGTATTAGAGTGGGAATTAAAATTGAGGTTTTCTGATCCTTAAATGCAGTACTATTGAACTTAGAACACTCTAGTGATGAATGAACATAGGAGGCACTAAAAACTAATCTACTGAGTCTACAGTAGATTGCCATGCCACCCTGAACGTGCCTGATCTCATCTGATGTCAGAAGCTAATCAGGGTCAGGCCTTGATTAGTACTTGCATGGGAGACCACCTAGGAATACCAGGTGCTGTAGACATTTAAAAAAAAACAAAAACAAAAACTAATCTACTAATCTACTGAATGGGTGAGCAAATGAAAATAAAAATGGATAAATGAATATTATTCATTCATTTTCTCCTTCTTTATGTGAGGATCCTCTTTGAAAATTATAGATACTTAATGTTTCTAGATATCAACCATATGGTATCATAGATATCTATACATATTTTATTACTTAGTAGGAGTGAACCAGAGAAGACCAGGACCAATACCAGAAATACACCAACGCAATATAAAAGAAATGCCATAACAGGAGAATTTGTCTACAGGATAATAAACACTATTATTCTTCAAGAACAGTCTTTGAATGAAGTCTAAAGATTAACAATTCTTATCAGTAGAAGATTTAGAATGAAGGACATGACATTCATCACAGCTAAAGGTCCTGATTCTGATTCCTTCACAAATATATGAATAAAGCGAAAGACTTAGCTGGTAAAGTGGACTGTCAAGTAGGTGCACCTAAGCAAACTGGAATGCATAGTTCATTATTTTAATTCAACTTTTCCCCGAAGTAGACTGCCAACCTCTTTGTAACTAATTCGACATCTATTTATTATGTGCCCATTGTATTTCGGGAACTCTTTAAGGTACAGGGATATAAATTTTAAAGAAATTAAAACTTCCTGTTAACACGAACCTTCTTTTCTAGTGCAATAAACATAATTATTTTTCTGTTGGCATATATGAGAAAAAATATACGAAGAGTCAGATGGTAATAAATTCTACAGAAAAGAAAAAGAAAGGAAAGGAATGAGAAATCTTGGTAGCAGAGGGTGGTAGTGGGAATTTCAGTTTAGGAGAATGGTCATGGAAGAATTTATTGAGAAATCGACTCTTGAACACAGACCAGAATGCAGTGAGGAAGCAAACCATACAACTCTGGATCAGAGTATTCCAAGCAGTGGAAATAGTAAGTGCAGAGCCTTGAAGTGGAAGAGTACTCAGCAAGCCAGAGCAGCTAGTGTGGCTGGAGCTGAGTTAACAAAGAAGATAAAAGTAAGACATTAAATTAGAAAGGTAAGGGGAGGTAGGGCGAACCATGCAATACTGCAAGCCATTGTAAGCATTTTGACTTTTGCTTTAAGATGGGAAATCATTGAACATTTTCACAGAGGAGTGATATCATCTAATTTAAAAATTTAAAAGATTACTCTGGCTTTGTTTGCAAGAAGAGAAACAGGGAGATCAATTAGGAGGCTATTGCAATAATCTATATGAAAGTTAATAATAGCTTGCCCCAGGGGGGAAGTGATAAACATGGTAAAAAGTGGAGCTTTCTCGATGTATTTTGAAGGTAGATGATATAATTTGCTAGTGGATTGGACATTGGGTATGAGAGAAAGAGAGGCATCAAGGAAGGCTCGAGTTTCAACTTGAGCACCAGGGAGATGGTGTTGCATTTACAAAGCTAAGAAAGACTATTGGAGGGGAAAACTTGAGAGAAAAATAAGAAGTTTGGTTTTAGGTAAATTAATATTAAAATGACTTTAAGACATTCAAATTAATTTCTAATAGGGAGTAAGATATAATTTTTGAGTTCAGAGAAAATGTGTGGCTGAAGATAAAATTTGAGAGTCATTGAAGTATAAGTGCTTCAAAGCCATGGGATTAGTACAATCTTAAAATCATCAGGAGAGTAACAATAGAGGCAAAGACCATGTTTACAGGTCAGAGAGATGAGAAGGAACCAGAAAAGGAGACTGTTAAAGACCAGGCATCAGGGTAGGTGGAACACCAAGAATGTGGGAAGCCAAGGAGAAAAATATATTGCAAGAAAGAGGAAGAAACCAACTAATTAAATTAGATTAGAAATTAGATTTAACAATACGAGATCATTGTTGATCTAAAGTTTAGACAAAAACAGTTTTGGTGGAATGGTGGGATTATAATACTGATTGGAGTGAGTTCAAGAGGAAATGGGGTAGGACCCATTTCCAAGTGAAAGAGCCTTAGGCAGGAGCATGGGCAGTTCAAACAGTTACAAAGGGAAATCATGGTTACAAAAGGGAGCATAAAATGTAGGCAGGAAGACAGATTATGATGGTAGAAGCTTGTGCAAGTTCTCTGCTGGACACTTACTTTTTAAACAAAATAGGAACCAATGCCATCAGCCAAGGGTGAGGTTTAAGAATGGAAGTGAATATATAGTTGTAAACAAGACAACAGACCTAAAATGGAGTCATTTATGCTAAGACTCACATCTCCAAAGACTTAACTTAGTTATAGTTTCAACTTTTCCAGAAATGAATCATAAATCAGTCAGTCAGGAATCACCTGATCAGCACAGGTTAGGTAATCTGCCTTACGTCTGCCTGCCATCCCCTAAAGGAAAGTAACCTTGAAATAACCAACCTGCTTTTTGGTAAGTATAACTTCCTTGTTCTTTTTCCCTTCTGCCTATAAAAGTCTTTCATTTCGTAAACTCCTCGGAGCTCCTTTCTATCTGCCGGATTGAATGCTGCCCTTTTTAAATCAATTTTTGCTCAAACTCTTAAAATTTTAAATATGCCTTTGATTAAGTTTTAATGGTTCAAAATAGTTGCCTACTATAGACTGGGAGAATCAATGTGTTTCTATGTGTACTGTAACTGGATACATATTGATGGGCTGTGCTAAAGTACAGATATGAATATGGTTTTTACAGAATTAAAGACAGCTCAACAAGTATATGTGTTCTTCAGTCTATTCTAATGCATCGAAACAGAGTTGAGATTTTGCCAGATGAAGGTAATAAAGGGAGACACTAGCAAGGAAGTTAGGGGTGAATGCAGGGAGAGATTATGACACACTAGAAAATTTAAGCTACACATGAGAATGCAGAGGTGGCACTAGACAGTGAAAATACAGACATTTCAGTGGATTGTAGGTCCTGGAGATGTTGCGGTCAGAAAATGGCATGATTGAAATTGAGATTATGTAGATGCATTGTAGTTTATGGTAATAAATCAAAAGTGCGACCTTGGGATTAAATGCGTAAACTAGGATTGAGAGTTGGATCACTGAAGCAGAGAGTGTTAAGGAAATGAGAGACTAAGGTATTGAAAGGATCACCTGCATAGACATTAAAAGCACCAAAAATGATAACAGAAATAAAATTGGAAAGAATTCAGTGACCCAGGGGCTAAAAGCTTAAGGCAGTGAGAAGGAGTGATCTGGGGTCTGTAGATAACCACAGCAAGAGATAGAGTGGATGTTATAGTCTGATGACACGTGGTGTAAAACTGTGTGTGAGGCAGGGAAGGGAGAGCAGAGGAGAAGAAAGAATGGTCTGAAGTGTCAATGAGTAGCAAAGAGCACATCAATCTTCCCCAGAAGCCACTGGGAAAGGGCTTGGGAGAGAAAATATCGATCACTTAGAGGTCCTGCAGCAGAAGCAGTGCATTTGACTCACTTTTTAGTTAGAGCAAGACAGCAAAGCGAACATTGAAAAAAGATTCTGAAGTTATTGAGAATTTTGTTCATGATCGACCTTGAGTTTCAGAATATATAATGAAATGGTTTTAAGAATTGAGATAAGGTGAGTGATGGATTAGAAGTGGTCTATGTGGAGTGATACAGGGATAGAACCTGAAGGATAGAGGATGACCTGGGAGTCGCAGGCTGCTTTGGATGATTGGAAGCAGAAATGAGCTCAGTCCTGATGGTATGAAGCAGGTAGTACTAATGAGTATGTGAGTATCAATGAGAGGAGAAGGGTTGGTGATTGGGTGTGTTGACGTTGGGGCAAAAGAGAAGTGAGGTCTTATCTAGACTGGCCAGGGCTCCCAGTTTTCTTCCTCATTTCTACGAATGTCATTGGGTGTCATATTTTCATTTTATCCCCAGCCCCTTCCACTGCACAGAGCTGGCATTCGGTAAGGCTTTGTTCACTGACATCAATCCCCATCTGATAAACCATCAATAACACTAGAGATGATATAGATGAAGCAATTTCGAATACCTTGGAATGTCTATGGAGTTTTTCAGTGTTAGAATCCCATCCTGTGACACTAGATACTGTTAAGCTTCACATGGTAGAATGATCTGAGAATGAATCATCACTGATTCATGGATCCAGCTCATTTCTCCCGCAGTGCTCACTTTAAGTCACAATGACCTTTTCTGACTACTTGTAATGGCAGCACAGTGGGGACTGCAGTTCCTGGATAGTGTACCATTAATAGACTGGCTAGCTAGTACTGTTTCTTGTCCCTTGGAGTGAAAGAGAAAGTAAAGCCAAAGAACAGGGATTTAATGCCACATTTTTCTTCACTCAATTGAAAAATATATCTGAAAAACACTATAAAATTTCTGATTTTTAAAAGGTCTTTGCAAGGTGATTTTGGTCTTTTTCAGATAGTGAAAGTTTTTTAAGATATTAAATAATTTATTACTTTTACTTGTATAGAATAAAAGATAACAGAAAACACAGAGATCAATAAATCCTAAGACCTTCTTCAGAAGCATTCTGGTCAGCGAAGGAGTTTCCACTTTTAAGAGGGAGATTAGACTGGGTGATCTTATATCCTTTTTAGCACAAAGTTTGTATTGATCTATAAGATTTGAAATATTTGAATGCTTTCTTTTTTTTTTTTATTGAAGTAAGAAGATGGCCAAATGCTTTTATAGTATTCCCAACTACTAGAGACTGAATTATATCCCCTAAAATTTTATATGGATACTCAAATCTCCAGTGTGACTATATTTGGAGATAGGGTCTTTAGGAAGCAAAGGTTTAGGAAATCAGGTTATAAGAGTAGAGCTGTAATCAGATAGGACTGTGGCCTTATAAGAAGAAAAAGGTATCTCTCCTCGTTCCTCTTCTTTATTATTTCTCCCCCCCGCCATTTTCCCTCTCCCTCTTCCTCTCTCTACCCGCCTTTCCCTTTACCCCAACCTTAGGACACAGTGAGAAGGCAGCCATCTGCAAGTCAGGAAGAGAGAACCCTGACAGACACACCAACTCAGCCAGCACCTTCATCTTGGACATCCAGTCTTCAGAACTGTGAGATAATAAATTTCTTTTGTTTAATCTACCCAGTCTGTGGTATTTTGTTATGGCCGGTCTGAGTAGATTAAGACACCAACCTGCCCACCTTTATAGAAATTAGGTTTGTTCCTAAAGAAAACAATAGATTTGTATTTCACTTTTGGTCAAGAGATGAATCAGAAAATTTATGCAATGCTAGTGTTTCATTGGTATGGACAGTACTTACTGGTGTATGACCAGCATGCTGAGTGAATGAACAAATACATGCAAAGAATCTGCTGAATGGTGAGAGACTGTGAGAGACTGCAAAAAAAGAAAAATACTGAATAATATGTTGCCTTTCAGAATTCATGTGAAATGAAAGGCTTAACTGTCTTTAGTACCTACCATTGTGCTCAATATGTATTGGGATATCAAAAAGAGAACTCATTTGTGCTTTTTATTTTTCTAATTTAAAATTACTGGCTCATTACTGGCTAAGTCAGTATCAAGTCTCTTTGTCTGGATCTATAAAAGCAATCACATTTTAATGCCACTGTAGATTTTTATACCTGAGATTTAGCGTTACTGTCAAATAGATGTCAGCACATAAATATGGAAAAAAGTTTATTGCACATGAGAAAATATAAGTCCAGAAAAAAGTAACTTTTCTTACCCCCAGATATTTTTAAAAGACATTCCGTGTTACTTTCACAGAAACAGCATCCTGATGAAGAACTGTGGCACTTCTTAGATCAATGCTATGGGAGGTAGACAGAGTCTGGGACTCACGAGACTAACTTATGCCAGGTATCAGTGGACAGGGGGAAATTGCTACAGCTAAGTGTTCATAGTAGAGAACTCCAACAGTGATTATTCATCAGAGCTGTAAAATGAGGCTCAGAGTATCCAAAACCAAAATCAAACCAAAAAAAAAAAAATGCTGGAGCAAATAGTGGGAGCAAATTAGAGACTTCAGATTCACTAAGCAATTTTGTGACTCATGGAAACCCAAAGGGATTCCTGGAATTCTCTCTGTAAGTAAAGCTAATTAGGACCCAGGGGTGGAAGAAGGATTTCATGTCAGTACTTTCAGAATGAGGCAGAATATTGGCGCTTTGCTCAGTGACATCCAAGAGGACTCAGGCAACCAGGATGTTGCAGAAAATCTGGTCTCTTAAAGTCAGATTTTTTTTCTCCTCACACAAGGCCTAGATAAGTGCAGTAAGAAAGTTCCGTTATCCCTATTTGGGAGAGACTCCTGGAAGCTTCCCCGAGTTCAAGTTAGAAGCCGACTTCTAGGACTTGCTTCCAATATGGCTGTATTGCTATAATCATTCCCTTGTATTTCCTCTTTCTTTGCATGGGAGAATAGGCTAAATAATCAGGCTTAGATTGTCTGCAATTTTAACAGCTGGAGAGAGCTCTGCATTCAGTTAGAGCAGTGATAGACAACTGATAGCCTTCTGTTCATGACAGGTAGAAAAATTAGAAAATACATCATAATCCTCACCTTCTCAGGGTCACAGATCTTTGAGAGGAGAAAACTGAAACCTTCAACCACTATTTTTTTTCTGCAGAAAATTCTCCATTCCTTAAATACAAAGGTTATCAGAGGAGACCTAATGGAACGTCAGAAGTATGTTTCTCATGTGTTACCCGTAGGGGGTGGGTGGGGGGGATCACAGGAGACAGAGTGACTGTATCCTCCTGCCATCCCTCCATGATAAACCTCAGCCTTTCTATAGCAGCAGAAATCATGAAGGCCTTGCAAGCCATATGGATGAGAATGTGGTAGATTATTTCTGGAATTAAACAAATTAGGGATCCATGGGCATCAAGTTAAAATAAAGATAAGGGATTTGATATTGTTGCTTCATGTTATGAATTAAATCCATTAATACTCTTTGAAAATCAAGTGAAGACATTTAAAATTAGTTTCTATTCCTGGTTTATGCCTTGAATACAACTCAAAAACTTGGGCTCCCACAAAGTCTACACTTGATCTTAGCTTAAAAGGCCAAGTAGCGATTCCACAAAGTCTAAAATCTATTATGCTTTAGTCATTGTCTTAGTCTATTTGGGCTACTATAATAGATAGGATGGGGGTTGGGGAGATGGGTGAAACAGGGGAAGAGGTTAAGAAGTACAAATTGGTAGTTACAAAATAGTCATGAGGATGTAAAGTACAGCATAAGAAATATAATCGATGATATTGAAATAACTATATATGGTGTCAGATGGGTACTAAATTTTTCAGGGCGATCACTTCATAACTTATATAAATGTCTAATCACTTAAACTAATGTTATATGTCAACTAAATTAAAAAGTAATTGAAAAGTAATAAATTATTTTTAAAATGTATGGATTGATTGAGATATAGTGATTTATTGGTGAAGATTTAGAATAATGGGAGAAAGGAGGTCCTTATATATTTCCCACTACAAGAAAAAGATAGTGATACTGTTATAAATCCATAATGCCATAGCACTTTAGAACCTACTTGTATTGAAATACTACAGACTTTCGCCTCTGAAGTTCCCTAATACCACCTATTTAATGCTGGTTATATCATTACTTATGATTCTGTATCATCTCCCATGTCTTCTGTGGATACTACTAACTTCCAATGTCTCTCTTAAAAGTACTGTGCTGCCTTGATAATGACCAAATGTAACTCTTACACAGTAAAATGTAAAAGATAATTTTATGGCCATAATAAATTATCATTCAGAATATTATGCTAGAACAACACATCTCCCTGAAATGTGATTTTTCTATGTGAACTACACCCCTGTCTCATACACTTGCACAAACAAGAAATACAGGCAAGGGGCCAGACATGGTAAGAAGAGTATTCTCTTTCACATAAGTAATGCCTGTCCCTCATCCAATTCAAGACTGATTGAAAACAGTCTTGTCGCCACATGAAAGTGGGGGGAATAAGTGAGAGCAATGATCAGAAGAGGCCACTGGTGCTGCTATTATAAAAGCTCTCAGGTAATACACAAGCATCCAGCTGCAGAGAACTGCAGAAAACATGTGACATGGAGTTGAGGAAAGGAGAGGTGAGCCAGAAGGGAGGGGGACACTCAGAGTAAAGGACAACTGCCATTACACCCACCACCCAAAGGTTAGCCCTTGAACTGTCAATGGCCAACAGCCATGAACTCATCCTGTGTCCAACATGAGGACACGAACTCAAATCAACATGTCAGTATATTTCTGGTGGCCCATTTTCAAGCAATCATGCCAACGAAGTACGGTGCTAGTCAGCAAGAGTGATCCAGGATCCAGTGCCAGCCACAAGTCCCAGGACAATCTCATAACCTGAGTCCCTGAGTTTTGTGGCAGTATCTGGGCAACCTCAGAGGTTGGACAGAATCTTGAAGGGACTGAATGAGGACAGAGTTCACATGGGTCCAAGTCTGACCCCAAAGTACCTCATCCGGGTGATATTTCCACCACAGTTGGCCCAAGGATTTTCAGAAGGAGGAGTTAGAAAATTTCATGGAAGGTGCTCCAAAGCACAGTAGGCTTCCTAAAGCCCAAGCCTCGGTCAAGGCTGAAACTTGCCCGAGTTTAAGGATAGCTAGGTAGAAGGTAAGCTAGGGCCAGTTCATGGAATACCTTGATCAGGAAGTTAAATTTTATCTATAAGTTGGCACTACCAACATGTCTTACTTTTCTTTGCAATGTATATTATTAGGTAAACTGAAAAAAAATAAATTATGGTCAAATAAATGGAAAACACTAGACTCTGATAGCCCTTAATGTAGTAATATGAATTTTGAACTTTCTATGATTAGAAAGACTATGCACCCTCTTATAATTTTATCTTTAAAAATAACCCATGGAGAGGAGAAAAAAAAAATGATGTAGATGATAAAGGCTCTGTTCATCACTCTTGTGACCACATCAAAGTTATGACAGAAACATGGAGCAAACAGCAAGCAAAGTCACCTGGGATCTAGATGAACAGAAGTACGACAATTAGAGAGAGAAATAAGAAATCACTCTGCAATGGTAGAAGGAGGAAAGAGCAAGACATGAGGCTGCTGGTCTCTGAGTGGGCCAGAGGATACAGCAGCTGGCACTTACACATGCCTTTTGAAGATACCATGTTTGCAACCAGACCTGCTCTACATGAGCACCAGCACATTGTTGGCTCAATGGGGGACACCAGGGACTTACAGAGAGACACTGACTGGTCAGAGTGGGGGTAAGATATGAG